AAAAAATAAACACATCATGGTAAAATTAATACCTTCTCAGCTTCGCATCGAAGCTAAAAAAAAATAATAATAATATTAATATTATTGTTATCATTATAAAAAAATTAACAGAATTTGGAGTACTATTAAAATAAAAGCACAGTGGTGACGTGGCATAGTTGAATCAAGTATAGTGATATCTGACAGTGATTAAAATCACTATAAAAAAAAACGCTTCGATGCAAATGTTTAGATAGTGTTTAATTTAAAAAAATTGGTGTATTATTCCAAAAGCTACATGATTTGCTATTTCCTTATTAATACCATGATTAAGAAAAAGTATGTCGAAAGAAAAAGGGATATAAAAATTATTTCTCATAAAAAAATTGTGTTGATCCATACACTTTTCAATAAGTTATCTTATTATATAATAGAACAAGAAAAAAACGCTTTTCTGGAAAAATTACTTATCGTGCTCGGATTTTCAAAATTTTTTTTTTCAATGAAAGCACTCGGTCACCAGAATCCAGGAAAATTATTGGCGAAGGTCGGAAAATTTTCATCGGACCCGCCCAATGACATTCCTGAGATATGATAAAAAAATCAATTCAATCCGTTCATTTTTCACCGTTTTACGAGCTTTTTTTTTTTCACGCGCATGGTTTTAATATGCGCAGTGATTCATTTCTGCTCATACGTTTATTATGAACCTTATATGAATATAGCTAACAAATAGCTATAGAATATGCTAACACGATTACACATATGGTATTGACTTTTGGCAACTATAAAATAGACGTAAATCATTGTCTTTCATGCCGTCTTCGAGGCACCACTAAAGTACTAAAAAAAAGGAAATTAAAATATAATAATTCTTTTGCGTTTTAAGAAATATAGAATGATGACTGAATGTGCCTATAAAAAGTATGACACATTCAAGACGCCCAATCCCTGTTTATGACTTTTGTGGTACATTATATAAAGGCTGAAGACACTGTTTTTCCAGTCAGTCACTCGCTCATTTTTTCTTACTTAATAATCACTTTTATCGAATTAAATCTCTAAGATTATTTCTTACCTACTTTGGCATATTATTTATACTGTGAGTCTATAATATTAACTTTCTTCATTAAATTTAAATAACACATTTGTTAAAATAATTAACATTTTCAATAGTAATAAATACGCTTTTATTAACCAAATACGATTCTCTTTTATCAACATACCTAATNGCTTTTATTAACCAAATACGATTCTCTTTTATCAACATACCTAATATAGTAATTAACAATATCCTTAATAACCATAAATCTACGATCAAGATTATATCACCATCAGTGAATATCAGGTGAGAGTAGTTTTAATACACTAACTACATTTATTGAGTAATAACCGTTAGATCATAATATTACTTTTTATGTATAATCCCCCTTACAATTTTTTTTATCTTTCTTTTGATTATTACACTTTCATTATCAGAACAGTACATTCTTGATAATCTTTTTTTTCTCATATATGATGTATGAGTCTATGAGTTTATCGTTTAAATTATGATTCATATGACAACTATGCTGTCCAACGTTAAATCGCAGTTACCAATATTTTTGTCAAAATTAAATTTTTTACATAATTTCACTTATAATAACCTGATGAATTATTATTTAATTATTCTATAATATAAACACAATTATTATAATTAGAATATTAATAATTTTTGTGTATACCAGGGGTCTATTTAAGGGATATATGGGCCCCCCTTGAACCAGCGCTGTCAATATTTTTTTAGGCAATTTCTAATAAATATGGACCTACTGTTCTTTTTTTCATCATTACTTTAATTTTTAGCAAAAACAATTACTATAACATGTTTAACAAAGTAAAAAATATTAAATACCCTCTTAAAATAATTTTTGAATAAGCCTAAAGGGAATACCTCATTAACAAACGTCAACCTTATACCCAATACATTTTACTATATTCTTGTTGCAGCTGCAACATAATAGTGTGTTGTACGCACGCGCGCCCAGTGTACTCGGACCGGTCTAACTATTATCACCACACCTACTCTCTACTACGCAAGTAGTAGTGGATATCGCTACTACCGGCCGATCAGCTGTTCACACACTACACACCAAACACAACACATAACCACACAATATTATTACTATCGTATCGTAGAAAAAGTTACATTTTTTTGTTTTTCACTCATAAAACTCAAATAGTTTGTTCATACTAAGTTAAACTTAAATAGTTTTTGTTCTTTTTTTTTAATAAAATGAATTGTTCATAGAACATTTTTGGGCATGTATAGAAAAAACTCTAATAGTTTTATTTTGTCTTTTTGATTTATACAAATTATAAGACTCTAATAGTTTTATTTTGTAATTATATCTACAATTGAAAACTCTAATAGTTTTTCCCTTTTGTTGTCAAATCAAAAGTCTTTCTGTCCTATTTTAGTCAACTCTGATACAACCATTTTGCTGTGATATAAACTTTGAAATTGTTACCACCTTTTGTAAATATTATTGTTGTCAGATATTTTTGTGTTACATGTAAAATTATTTTAGAATTAAGTTAGGATCTCTGCAATTGTGCGAGTATTAAAATCATCATTTATTAATTATTGTTTAGTATTATTGAAGTTATCATTTATTATTATTGTTTATTCTTATTGAAATTAACATTCATTAATCATTGAAAATATTATTATTAATTATTATAAAGTTTTTTTTTAAGATATTTATTTATTTAATTAATTAAGTACACACAAAACAATTACACACTAACACATCTGTCACTACATAGATCACTGGTTGCTGCGCAGGCGACCCCTCCCACCTCCAGTGATTCTATTTACATACACCACACTACGCAGCCTGATCGGTGTTGGTGTTTTGACGTTTGACTGCTACAATAATTACACATTCCAAATCTAATAAGGTGATTAAATGCTCATATTTAAAAAAAACATGACACTTATTATTTGTGATTTTATCGAAATCACGTTAGCCTTATGATGAACTCATTTTAGATATGCTGTTGAAGCATCCTTAAGTAGTAAAATTCTTCCTTTTTAATGGTGGCGGTTAATAACAAAGATAAAATGTTGCTATTAAACCACAAATACGAGTTAAAAGATCAACTGAAATTGTAATATTTTTAACGGAGAAATTAAACGCACCACGGCATNATATTTTTAACGGAGAAATTTAACGCACCACGGCATTAATCGATTCTTTTGATTTAATACCGATCGTTATATAAAATTTTTTATCTCATAGCTCCTACCGGAAACAGTGGCCTACTTATGATGACGGCCCGAAGAGGCTTACGCGCCGAATTTTCACACAAACATAGCATTTGGTAGCTATTTTCACCGTNATTTTCACACAAACATAGCATTTGGTAGCTATTTTCACCGTGAAGACAAAATAAATTCCAGAAATTTTTTTTTCCATAATAAAGTACATTACATTAGCTATAATTTAATATATATATAAAAGTGTCAAACTTTCCGGAACATTCAAAAATTAAGTTGAAAAAGTAAATTTTTTTTGTCATTTTTAATTCCGTCCAGTAGGCAAGTAAAGAGTCAGATTTATAAAAAAAATATACCAAATGATAGGTAAAGACATCAAGCATTTATAAAAAAAAATTATATTGATTTGGTAATTTTTGATTAAGTTATGACAGTTTTAAGAAAAAAAAAATTGAAAACATTTCGAAAATTAGAAATTTTTGAATTTGTAATTTTTTTTGTAGGTTTCCCCTATTTACGGGAAACGAGGGAAAATTTTTCAATTTTTGAGGGTAATGTCTTCATGAGTTATCATGGGCACTATATGAGGTTTTTGTGTTAAATGTTATATGGTGTTATCTGTGATAGTTTTTGAGAAATATTGAATTCGTCAGCTTTCCTTGTTCTTCATCTTACCCCGTTTTACCTTATAGTCAATTCTTTTAACTATTATAAATACTATTAATTATGTTATTATTATTAAAATTCCTTTATATTCAAAAATATGTAATGTTAATAGCCAGGGAAAATATTTTATTGCTCAATAGTTATTGAATTTATCATATTTTCGCAACTCTTCATTACATATGTAAACGAGTTATATACACGTCCGCAGGGAGGAAGTTTAGGGACCAAATGCGGAGTTTTTGGTCTTTTATTGAATTAATTTTCAATATATTTTGTAATATAAAGTTTCATTATTTAAAATTTGTTTACTTTTATCATTTTATATTTGTCGCCACTTTATCTCAGCTCTAGCCGGACTGATTTCTTTCAACGATTCGTCAAAAGATCACAAATTATCAATTTTATACTAACTATAATTACTGTTTATTCATATATTATACTTATAAATCAAAGAAATACTAATCGTGGTGTATTTAAGAAAATAAGAGTTCACTTTGGTTTTGCAATTATCCACCAATTTCTTAAAATTAAACACTATCTACAAATTTGTATCAAAGCGTTTCTTATGATAGTGATTTTAATTACTGTTAGATATCATCTATACTTGTCTCAACTATGCCACGTCCCAAGTGTACTGTGTTTTTTTAATTTATGACAGTTAAAACTAAAATTAAATGTAAATTAATAAAATTAATACTGCCAACTGTAAAATTAATTTTATACATAGTTCAAAGATAATTTTTACATAACCGAATGAAAAAAAATAATTCACTGAACATGTAAATGTTGAATGTGATTGCCCAAAAAAATGGGCTGGCATTATAATTTGCTAGGACAGGATAAATTATAACATTATGACTCAACCCAATTAACTAACTAGTAAAGAACATTTTTATCACTTTTTGTTGTAGTACCTGAAAAAGCGCAATTCCATGGGTTATTCTATAAATGTTAGCTCCAATTAATTGGATAGTGAAACCAAGTATTGAAAAAAAACACATTTCTTCCTTTTGTCATCAATTCTTTCAGACCCTTTAGACACTAATAAAATAAATATGTCGTTAATTAGTTTAATTTTTAAAAAATTTTACAGCGTTTTACGGATATTCAGCCAATAACGATTATAAAAGTTTACCTATCTATGATCTTTTTAATTTAGTAAACTGGGTACATCATATTCCCATGATAAACAATGATGGGGTTACTGAAGTTTGGTTGAAAATTCAGTCATCGATAAAAAAAAATCAAGTATAAATGTATCACTTATTAAGTTTTTGTTATAGTAAATAATTTTAATAGTTATTTGAAGACGAAGAAGCTTTAATAGATAGTTATGAGAGACATAATTTTGATAGCCAAGATACTAGTGTCGATAAGAGATTATTAACACCAGATATAAATACCTTCGTTGGAGTTGGGCCGGATGTTTTTTTCAACCTTACAGATGATGATTATGTAGGGAATTTGCCACCTTGGAACATAGAGTTAACAAATAAATTTGATCATAGTGCTTCTTTTGTTGTTGTCAAGTCGAACATATGGCCGGGTGCAGTGGCAATTACCCGAGATAAGTTAGTTGCTTCCATTGTAGGATAAAAATTTTTTGAAAAATGATTTTATTAAAATCATTGATACTCTACGCTCTTTAAAAAATGTAATAAACATATTTTATTTTAAATATATTGATTGTTGTTGAATTTGACGAAAAATAAAATAGTAGATGTGATGAAGTGCCAGTAAAATTTGGAAAATATTAGAAGACGTTATTATAAAATGGTTGAATGATATTTTAAATTAAGTCCAAATAGAAGGATTATTCCAATGGAGGAATTGTATTGTGATGCTGCTATATAAAAGTAAAGGGGACATACAGGAGTGTGAAAATTATAGAGGCATAAAGCTTATGAGTCATAGTATGAAAATCTGGAAAAAGGTAATAAATAAAAGATTAAAATGTGAGACATAAGCAACTAAAAATCATTTCTATGTTTATTTTCATTTCTAAGCCAATGATAGAGCCGATATTTTGTGTGAGACATCTTATAGAAAAGTATAGGGTAAAGAAAAAAATCTTTGTATGGTGCACATACATTTGGAGAAAGTATATATCAGAATTTCTAGAGAAGTTTTAATTTAAGCATTTATAAGAAAATGAGTCTCAAAAACGTATATTAAAGTAATAAAAGATATGTATGAAGGTATGATAGTAATGAAAGCATTAATATTGATATAGTGCTGATAGGAGGAAGTTAATCAAAGACATAATGTGTAGAGATTAGCTCTTGAATTATATACATGAATTAACACTTTAAATAAACCATATAATGATATAAACAATGTATTATAAATTATTTTATTTTTTTACAAAGTATTTTAGATTACACATATCGTGGTTGGGGTGTACAGAGTGATATCGTATATTTTAGTCCTTTTATCCCAGATGAATATCAAGATGAGTGTTTAAACTGTAATACTATTGAAGTAAAAGACCCAACTTACGAAGATGAATTATTTGTAATTAAAGAAGCAAAATTATTGCGACAGAAACGCTTAGTACTCAATACATCAACAGATTATGTAGAAACAGAAGAAAGACTAATTCAAAATTATTCTTATGATTGATTATATTAATTTAGGTTTAAAACATTAATTTATTTTGATATGTATTTCAAATATATTTTAAACATATATTACTTTTATATCAGTTATTACTTTAGTAACACTTCGTCTATCTTTTTTACACAGAATGAAATAATTAAAATTAAAAACTCTTTATAGAAACTTTTTTAATCATAGAAAGTGTAATTTTATTAAAAAATGGAATTTTAGACATTTCTTGGAAAACTAATTAGTATAGGTATTTAAATTTTACTTTCTATTTTAGATTATAATATCTAAAATTAAATTTTAAGACATTTATTTTTTATTACTATAAAAATAACTTATTAAAAATAAAAAAGAATATTCATAAAAAGTTGAATTAAGCAAAAGAACCAAATGGGGTAAATTGACACGCATTATTTACCCCCTTAAATCATATCATAAGGTTCAGTTTAAGTTCTAAAACCTAAACCAATATAAGTTAACTATAAGAGTGAGAGAATATTTAAAAATTACTAACAATTTTCGTAAATTTAAGTAAAATGTTACTTATAAAAAATGATTTTCAGTCATGAGACCAGATATATATAGTAATGGTAAAGGGGGCATAATCTAAACTTTCTGTGAAGTAATAATCATCTATCCACAACTTTTAGAATGTGTAAGTAACTCTCTTTACAATTCCATCAATGTACAGTAATCCAGGTAATAACTTAATAAATTAATAACATCTTTTAATGTTTTAGCTTCGATGCAAGTTGAGAAGGTATTAATTTTACCATGATGTGTTTTTTTTTTTAACTGTTGCCACTTTTTCTCAGCTCTCACTGGACCGATTTCTTTAACAATACGTCAAAATATTATTAAATATTATTAAAAAATAGTAGGCTCCGTCTAGCTGGGGCTCCGCTTCAGACCCAGAGCCCTACGAGCCTTACTCGCCTTCGGTGTGTAAGCCTCTTCGGGCCGTCATCATAAGTAGGCCACTGATTCCGGTAGGAGTGCCAGGCTACGCAGGGCACGATAAGTGTTTTGCAGACAAAATACTACATCAGAATCAGTGTAACAAAAATATATTAAAAATGTTATTATTAAAATCAGGAAAATTCAAAAAGAGAATTGTTGGGGCCAGGGGCACTAAATATTATAGTGCGTACCCGAACCGGCTAATTGCACCAATACCTATCAGGCTGCGTAGTGTGGTGTATGTAAATAGAATCACTGGAGGTGGGAGGGGTCGCCTGCGCAGCAACCAGTGATCTATG